TTAACAGTTGCCGACAAAACTCGCGAAAAGGCCAATGGCCATTTGAAATGTGGTCCAATGATGACTCAATCGAAAGTTCACGGTTCTCACCGAGTGACATGGTTCTTTTGGTCAGAAACACATGTGTGTAATGGAAATTTGAACAACTAGACAGGGAGATGATGATGGTGACAGGCGTTCGCCGGGTACCGTCCATCACCGGAAAAGCTTGTTATGCTTGTCATTTTACTGAGAAGAACGGTTTTATGGAGAATGGAAGAGTTGATTTTGTGCTCCATGGAGAGGGACAAAGTTGTTGCTTTGCATAAGTGTAGTGTAGTGCGCATTTCTCCACTTAATTGTATCATCATCTTTTCATGCTGAGTGCTACTGCACGGTTTGGTTCCACTGTACTCAACCTAGTGCATAAATATAGTGTTCCCTTGCGACTTGGCTAAATCATAGCTGGGTCATAATGAGGTAGGTAGGGGCATCAGTGAGAATTTGAAATGAATTCAGAGGTTTCCAAATCCTTCGCCAAACATGGACCAGTTTATCAAAAAAGAAAATAATGAACGGGAGAATTGCATTGTATGACCTCGCGTTGAAAGTACGGCCACGGTTCGCCTTGGGGGGTCTACGGCAGTTGCCTATGTCTCCTACTTCGTCACACTATGCACAAAACCTGCATTACCACCTAAATCGCGTTCTTGGCGCATCGTTCAGTTACTCAAATGACGCTGTCTTTGTGAAGGTGACACAATGCTGAGCCCATAGGTAGCCCTTTAAGGTTGTTTACTAGGTTGCTGTAACAATTTTTGACGTCACCACCCATACACACACTTCAATGCAGCAGGTCATTGCACAGATTACGCAACCATGTGGTCAGTGGGCGCTCTGAGGTCACCCGTCCAACAAAGACTCGTGCTATCTGGTACGATAACGATCACAGGTGCTGTATGGATTAGGTGCCAGGCGCTGTAGCGGTACATTCTTGGACACAGTAGTAGCTGCAGCATAATTAGGGTTTACTGGGTTACGAAAGATCTTTCGCGACAGGCAATGTGACATCTTCAAATTTTAAGCGAATGGGCATTCAAATTTCGCTGATGCGCATGTCATTCATTATTTAGATGCAGGGTTGCATTGTCGCACACATTGCTTCACATTAAGCAAGAGATGAGTTATTAATGAGGAAGGTACTGTAAAGGACTTTGAGTCGTTTGAATCTCTTCAAATTAAAATGGACAGCTCTAATCTGTGATAGTATGTTTTTTGACCCCATCGCACAATTTCCTCTTTAAATATCAAAGCCTTTGCGAATGTTATCCCAAACGCGTGAACTGGTCTCCGAATAGGTTATATGTTGCAATTCCGGCCGAGATACGATCTTGGTCGACGCCATCAGCTGCGTCAACGATAGCCTTCGCAAAATTCTTGGCTAGCAATGGCTGAATAACTTATAGAAATTATGTAATGCTTTGATTTCAGGTCACAAACTGGCTACACTGTTTCCGTCGATCCAGTGCTGTCTAGCATTGATGTTTGCTGCTGAAAGATACGCTGATGCAAGGCTACGAGCTGATACAGAGAACATCATCGGAAGCACGTTCCATCTGCAAATGGTAAGGTTATACTTCACTTTGGTTTCAAATTTCAAAAATTTCTGGGTTTTATGCAACCTGAGTGGAATTTTTTAGGATCTCCTACGCTCCTACATATCTATGATGGAAAGAGTAGTCAGCGATCATGGAATGTGCTCAACTCATCAAAATTCCTCATCAAATGCTTCGAAAGAAGCGGAATTTCTGGCCCACTTGCCAGGAGACCAATGTGGATCGTCCTCATTGGGCACCCCTCACAACGACTCCGGGTTTTGCTCCGGAGTAAGCTCACCGGAATCATGTGGCAAGAAGGAACTCGAGTGCTCTCCGCCAAAGATGGCAAGGATTGCTTAAGGTCTTCCTCTTTGCTAGAATTTTTGAGAAAATGCTCGAATATTCGTTTTGATGAACTGTAAAGTCATCAAAACTTTATACAGCTCTTTTCATCATGTATTCCTTATTTATTTATCCTCTGGAAACTAATAACTTTGTTATTACAAACAATTTTCACAACTGGAATTTTTCAAAAATTTACGGACGAGTATTGCCAACGTTCCTCCTCAGCTGTTCCTTCTTTTCTAAGTTATTCAGCTGGCCTTATCAAACCTAAGAAAGGCCTAACGCGGGTGTTATTCAATTTTCTTCACGTATCATATGTTTAAAAAGACATTTCTTACCCATATTTTTTAGCCACTACCACATCTCTTTGTAGCTTATTTTTTCAAATTGTCCCATTTTTGTGGTAGAACTTTGTCATTTTCTTAGTTTTAGGTATGCATGTCTCACTTCTCAAAACTTCAACACAACATGCTTTTTGAAATAGGCTCACTGCCCGCACAAACGTTTATGATTGTGAAACTGAAGTTTGTTTGTATGTATCGAGAAGTGTTGTCTTCTTTCTTCATTCCGGTGTTCCTTCTATTCTTTTTTTCTTTTCATTCATCCGTTTCTCGCTGTTCTCAACACCAAATAACCCAGCTATTGGTTTTCTTACAACAGTTTTTCGAGAAGTTCATCGATTTTTTTT